ACAGGAATTTCTACTCTTCCTTTTTCCCTCAGTATTTTTTCATTTCTTCAGAACATATTCTTTATTTCTCTGCTTATTTGCATTTCAACACAAAACTATATTCATTGAAGAATAATACTTCTGATTTTTGCAAATATGCTTCTGTTCTCCAATATCTGACAAAATAGAAAAACTCCATGATTATGAGTAAAACCAGCCAACATCTTCGAATCACTCCTGAATAATAGCAGTGCTAGCACCCTATTTCGTATTTCCTCTTGAAGACCATAAATATTTATCAGCTGGATAATTAAAGACAATAGGGAGACACTGATTCCTACTTTCCTCTATGTGCTACAATTGCTAACACTAAATTCTAACAGAAGATGCTAACTTCATCACCTTGGCCTGTATTCACCAGGATTTGGATAGGGAATATCAAATTCAGGTTTCCCACGGACTACCAGGCCATCTAATGAGGTGTCATTACCAACATGTACAAATACTAGTAGGCAGACCTGGGTGTATACTTGCACAGTGTACCCATGAGAAGGACTTTGTTTCATTTGCCTAAAATTTCCATTCACAAACTTATCTTACACATGGGAAAGGAACCTTCAAATAAGAGAACTGGCAATAGGAAGAATTAGTGGAAGTGACAAGACTGGGCTTCAGAGGTGAAATAAGGTGCTCTGGCAGCACTTACATCAGAGGCAGTCTATTTGTAACTACTAAGGCAATGCAGGTCTGGAAAACTGCCAGTCAGATCAAGGGGTAAAAAATAAGGTACAACTAAAAAGGAGTTGCCTGAAGATTATGAAAAAGATCCTGTGACTCTCATCTGCTCTGACACATACCGGCTTTGATGACACAAGGCTTTCCTGTCAGAGTGTTTCTATCTTGCTAAATACGTTGTTGTCTTCTCCTCCCTGCAGATATGCACACTGCTCAAGTGCAAGAGCACAGACCCGGACACATGTGGGCAGCCAGTGGAGACAGCTCAGACCGAGTTTGAGATGTTCTCCCTCAGTGGCACATTTGGCACCAACTATGTCTTTCCAGAAGTGTTGTACAGCGGAGTGCAACTGGCCCCTGGGGAGTTTGAGGTAATGGAATACCCTGGAGCTGTGTCATGTCAGGTCCTCTGCAGGATAGTCATGGAATTAACTGTGTCAAAGCAGCCAAAGTGAACTTGCTCATAGTGAATAATTGATCTATTAAATACCTTTTAATGAAATCACTAGTTTCAGTAAGAGATAGGGTCTGACGTTCCTTTTTCCTGTTTGTCACATTTTTCTGAGCTCTTAGTGTGTTCATATAGGTACTTCTCTAATCACATTCTTCTCTTACCTTTTTCAATCAGGTACTGAATGATGGGCGCTTGATAAATAAGACAAAACCGACAAAACCAGTCGTTACTGTGACACTTTTTGGACGGTGGTATGAAAATGATCATCTGAAACAAGACCCACAGCCAACAGCCTTTCTGTGATTGAAGCTGAACACTGTTTCCAAATGAGATACAGCATCCTCTACTACAACAAAACCTGCCACCACTTCTTGGTCAGAACACGACATGAATCATCATTTCTTGGAAATCTCCATTGAACCAAAACTTGGAATCAAAACCTCAAGTTATTCTACTTATCGGTTCTGAAAAACAGCTTGGCAACACCTCCTGTCTGCACTGGATGCTATTCAGTGATGGAACTGTTTGCAACCAGTAAACAAGTCACTGAGTTACCTGGTATCACATAGCAGCTCCTCCCTCACGTCTTCTCTATGTCTTTCTAGTCGTATAACACCAACATATTTGAAATAAACCTTGTCCTTTACTCCTTCCTGTTAATGCTGAGTAGTGCTGCCCTGTAGATGAATTTGCTCTAGGGATTAGAGGATTTAGAATTCTACTTCAGACCAACTACTCCTGGTGAGAAGGCACTGTTCACATCTTTGGTTCCTCTTCTCCCCCAGTGACCTGTGTTTTGTTGCTGCTGCTGGACCCTAGTGACCTTCTTTCAGCACATGAGTTTCAGCACATGTGCATGATTTGTGGCTGTGTCCTTAAGAGTGGTCAGAGACCTCTATTAATCTTCTTTTTCCTTCCTTTTCTCCACACTAACACCATTACTTGCCTCACCATGATGCTCTCAAGGTCCTCAATCCCATGTATTTCTGTTATGGAGCTGGTGAGACACTGGGAGTGCAAATACTTTCCAAACACCAGCACTGATTACCACTGCTGTGTGCCATATGACCTTTTTTGTTTTCAAATGTAAATAAATACTCACATGGGACATAACATAGTCTCATGTCTAATAAACATAATGACATGTTTATCAAAAACCCCAGACAATGTTCTCTGACTCATGAAAGCTCAGCATCATTGCTGCTAGAGCCGCGCTGTCTTAAAACCTAGTTCACTGCTGGAGTCAGGTACTGTCTGACCACAGACTGATCGCGGTCCAGCAAGGGATTATCCAGTGTGGTCCTCTTCCTGTGGGTACAAATTCAGTGCAGATACTGCACTTGTGCCCTGGGAACCTAGTGGGTGATACCACAACTTTCTCCCAGGGAAAGGATCTGGATTTAAGGGAAGCACCCAGGAAAGTCTCAGCAGGAGTTGTGTGGCCACTCTCAGAACTGAGAGGCAGCTTCTTCAGATTTGCTTACTGCTCTTGCCAGTCCTCTGGATAAGGGAATGCGTGTGCTTGTAGTATATAGCTTAACCCTGAATCTGGTGAGTATCTTGAATCCAGGATTTGATTCCAGGCCATTGTTTTTTTGGTTAAGGTATATTTGTATGTTGAGTATTTTCCTGTACAAGACTGGCATAAGCCATCATGGCACTAAATTCTTTTTGCTACAAAGATTGCATAACACTTATTGTGAAATGTGTTATTGTGTAAAATGAGTCAAGCATACAGAAAGTAATCTTGTACAAGTCCACCCATTACCCACATACCAACTTACTCTGTATAAAGACAAGGCTGTGTGTAGCCACAGATGGCAATAAACACTTCTTCAAGGGCAGTGCAGAAAAAACCATTTTGGTACCTGACAGCTGAGTCAGAACCAAAGAAGGTAAGAAACTTGGGTAACCAAATACAAGCGATTTTTGTGCACATGCAGCTTTAGCTTCAAGATTTCTTCTGGAGTGATCCATAGGCATAAGAAAGCAGGTTGCAATAGGCAAAATTTAGAAATTGTGGCTCCTATTCATGATGCTCTTCAAACAGAGACCTTTGGGCACCAGAGATCTTCAGAGCTCGGTTATTGAGTGGTGGGTGTGCTAATGGATTTGCTCAGACAATCAACCTGCCTGGCACCACCCTGAGATGTGCAGCAGCCCCCAAAGACCCTGAAACACTGAGCTGGTGCTGTGCTGATCTGGGGTGGCACAGGTAGTGCCCATGCTGGGGCCCGGCCACCTGCCTCCTGCAACCATGCCGGCACCCCTCACTGCCAGGTTGGGGCAGGAATGTATCCATGCTTGTCTCTACCAAGATTTCCTGAACTTGTTGTCTTATTGTGACTCAGATTTGCCTTGAGCTGTGTTACTGCAGCAATGCTATCCCTGAACTTTTTGTAAATCTGTCAAGTGATATGTTTCTTCAGCTGCAGCACAGTGGTGACTTCTCAGTGACTTCCTGCCGGGGATGTAAGGCAGAATTGCTCAATGCTGGTGGCTCTCTTGCCTTTGATATTGTGAGACTTTCCAGGCAGGGTGATTGCATTTCCCAGTGTCTGTTGGCTTTCTGCCATCCTGGGGAATTCCCAGGTTTCATGCAAGACTTCCTCCTTTAAATCCCAGTCTTTGCTTGCCCACAGCCTCCTCTTGGGTGACTTCCAGGCTCCAGACATGGGGCTTCCTAAAGCTTGTGCCTCTACTATGTTTTTGATGCTGTCTGCTCTGGAAGCCTGTCACCTGCAAACCTATGTCAAAGCTGTCTATGAGCACAACATAGTCTTAGAATCACAGAATTACTGAAGTGTTGGTTTCTCCTGAGGAAGCTTTGGTGCTGATGGAGGAAAAATCAGTCTTTTGGGTGACACAACATAGAGAAGAGGAAGGTTTTTTCAGGAAGAAGAATATTTTCTTTGGCTTCCTGCTAAGTGGTAAATTATGAACCAGGTTATGTTCTTTCATCCTCACAGATATACCAGGAGTTCTAACTAAGGTTTTTCTAGGCCTCACCTGAAACTATAGTAGTAATATTCTATTTACGAAATACTGTGCTAAAAATTACCTTCCATGAGAAAAAAAAAAACCAAACAAACCTGCTTTCTAAGGGTAATTTCAAATTGCTATTGGTGCAAAAACTTCTTTTTGAAAGGACAATAATAAGAAAAAAATCTGTGTTGTTTAATTCTTTCTCACAAAACAAGCAAGTATGTTAGCTCTAGGCAGAGAGGTCAGCATAGTTCAAGGGATAGTTTGCAGTGTGAGCCCAGCAAGGAGGACATTCTCAAGGCACGAACTACAACTATAGTAAGCCACTGGCCAAAAGCAAGAAGTATGGCAGGACTACGTGTCTCATAAGGGCCAATAAATCATCTGCACTCTGAAACATGACAGCTGTACTTCATGCAGGTGATCTGCCTTCAGCACTGGCTGAAGCTTTAACTGATGGCACCATGTGCAGTAAGGTTATATGTAGTAGTGTGCCCAAACCAAGGGAGTCTGGGCTCGCACCAAGATGGGTTTAAAAGCCTGGATAGGGATGTGCAAATGGAGTGTTCAAGTGCTCCTTCTAATGGAGCCCCTTGTAGATTAGCATTGCTTCTGGCAAGCTCTGTTAGCCTTTTGTTCTTTTATTTTAAACATTTCTTATTGGAAACAAGATCCCATTCCTAGAAATGTTCCTTTGACTTTTTATTGTAAATAAATGTCCTGATTGTTGGCAGAAATATTCTCAGATTACTCAACAGGAGATTATTTCCAAAGCAAATTTATTAGTCTTTACTCCTCCTCTTTCTATCTGCTTTATATTCCCCATGCCTGATCCAGGAGCTGTGAGGCACCAGCCATGCTCCCTTCCCAGCCTCTCCTGCATGCTGGGGTATTCGCACTCGCAGTCCTTCAGGCCCTTGCCTCCGACACCTTCATTGCAGCCGTCTATGAGCACGCAGTCATCCTGCCAGATCCCACCGACAAGCCTGTTTCTCCCGATGCTGCTTTGGCCCTGATGAACAAAAACATGGATGTCTTGGAAGGGGCCATAAAGGAAGCTGCCCAGCAGGTACCAGATGTATCATGAGGGTTGTTAATTAGTGTTTTCTGCTCTGTCTGACCCCCCTGGTTATATGTTGATGGGTGAGCTTCTAACAGAGCTTGTTGTGACAGGGTGCCCACATCATTGTGACTCCTGAAGATGGCATCTATGGCTGGCAATTCACAAGAGAATCCATCTACCCGTACCTGGAGGATATCCCTGCTCCAGTGGTGAACTGGATTCCCTGCACTGACCCCTCAAGGTGATTCCTTCTACAGTGATTTATGTGGTTTCAAACTAGTATCTCATGGAGTCATGAGCAGCTCCCACTAAATGCATAGGAACTGCTAATTTTTTAATCTGTTAAAAATCACAAGTACTGTAGACGTGAGATAAACCAAAAAGAAGTCTTAATTAAATGGTAATGGGAATATGCCAAGTAAAAAGCATTGAGACAGTTTTACTTTAAAACTTACAAAAGGATGAAAATGAGGAAATTTTAGGCAAAATAATTATTCTAAAAACATGTAAAATTTTATCAATTCAGATCACTTGTGAAAATCCTGTAAGTATAAGCTAGTTTATTATCATATCAGATGCATAGATCAGACTAAGTGATAGAGTCCTCAGCTCATGTGGCTGAGTTATTTATAAAGCAAATTGCACAAGATATTTATCTAGATCTGAAAGAAGTGTCTTCTGGAAATCCAGCCACTTCCACAATTTGCTGTGTTACACAGAGCTCCTCTGAATCTGTGTCAGCAGGGGACACCAAGAGGACCGAGTTCGTGTCTAAGGTAAGCTTTTATATTCTTTTCTGAGGCTTTGCAAAGCTAGATTTCAGGAGTTATTTTAAATTTATGTCTGTATATGATTTATTCTCCCCTTTGTTTTTTGAAGCTCTTCATATCTTGTGCATGTTAACTGGGAATTCTCTACACACAGAAAATAACATTGTTAAGGGTACAGGAAAGAAGAACACAGGGACACCATTTTTTTTAAAGATAAAAGACACTGTCAATGTAAAATGATGCTATGAACAGAGAAGAAGATGAACAGAAACTATGATTTGATCAATTTCTTTTGCATATGGGGATGTGCAGACAATAAAAGTATTTTGAATGCATTTCTTCTACAGATGCACTTAAACTTCTAGAAGTTTTTTCTTCTTTCACTGAAAATACATTAGATTTGGTCCAGCACCAGTGCAGGAACGACTCAGCTGCATGGCCAGGAATAACTCCATCTATGTGGTTGCAAACATTGGGGACAAGAAACCATGTAACTCCAGTGATCCCGGCTGCCCCAGTGACGGTCGCTACCAGTACAATACGGATGTCGTCTTTGATCCAGAGGGGAAACTGGTGGCTCGTTATCACAAGGTAAGGAGGTGCTTCAGCATCATCCTGTAATTTATTATCAATATATTTTTCATCTCTCTATCACCAATTTCAGCTTGTTTTTACAATAATTTAACATTATTATAAATTGTCAACCAACTCAGGATGATTTGATGCAAGGATCTTGTGGCCAGAAGGAAAAATAAGCAAGTGCTTGACCAATCAGACATTATTCCCAGGCACATCACAGATGCAGAGAGCTTACCAGCTGCCAAATACATAAAGGCTACATTTATGATAGTAAATGGTAAAGAAACAGTGACAGAGTTTTCCATACTCCATAAACGTTAGCTCATCCTTGATACATTCTTAGCCAAGTTAGTCTGCCAAGTCTTGGCAGAATTTAGCATCTAATATTGGCTGGGCTTTGCTTCCAGGAGGTAGATGGGGTACAGCTACCCCATTTTGTAGGTGGATAGGGTCAGCTGGATGGTTTTAAACCAGCTGTGCAGGCCGGCTCAGGTACCTCAACTCCCAGCTTTGCTTTAAAGCCTATCTCAGATGCAAAATAGGTGTTCATAATCTTGAGGCATTTTTTTTTAAGTTTCTAATATGCCATTTTTTTCACCTGCAGTACAACCTGTTTAGAGGTGAAACTCAGTTTAATTACCCAAAAGAACCAGAAGTTGTCACCTTTGAGACTCCCTTTGGGAAGTTCGGCATTTTCACTTGCTTTGACATCCTTTTCCATGAGCCTGCAGTGGTCCTGGTGAGCAAGATGCAGGTGGACACTGTGCTCTTCCCAACGGCTTGGATGAATGTCCTGCCATTTCTGACTGCAGTTGAGTTTCATTCTGCCTGGGCTATGGGCATGGGTGTCAATTTACTTTCAGCAAATACTCACAACATCAGCTTTGCAATGACAGGTGAGTTACATTCAGGAATTGTCCTCAGATTCAGAAGCAGGCAGAAATGTTTTAGACATAGTGAAGTCTCAGGAAAATAGTGTTTTAATCAGACTAAAGATCTTTGTGGTACCATCCTAAATGTAATAAACACCTTCAGGCATTAAAATGTTGAATGTACTGGAAAAGGTAAAATTAGAAAGCCCATGACATTAAATTTTGGTAAGTTGAAAGTGGAATTTTATTTCAAAAACAGCACAAAGTTTCACTTAAATTTTCATTCTTTTGTTTAGAAGCAGCATTTTTTTAAAAAAATTCAATCAACAGTTAAGTAGAGAAAAAATGTTTCAATTGAAACTTAATAATGTAAAACCAAAAGGAGGATTCCTATTGTATATTGAATAAAATATTTTCAGATTTTGGGGCTGCTAAGGAATTAGAGATATATATGTTTTGTTTTGCTCTGAATAGATATTTTCTGCCTTTTTTTTCCTGTAAACTGAGAAAATGTTGTAGCTGCATCTGTAACTCTTCTCTGAAGCCTGAGTGAAAACCACAAAGGAACATTTTTGCCTGCCCTAAATAAACTGAATTGAGTTTAAGCCACAACCCTGTGTTTCATCCAGTTAAAAATAACTACCCCCATGGTTTCCTTATTTGTCAAATATGCCCCTCTTAGAGCCCTGATCTATATTAACATGAACCTAAGTTTTAACACTATGATGGATATTTTAGCAGTTCTGTGTTTTAAAATTCTTCCAAAACTCTCCATAAGGTATTAACAGAAAATACTGTAACTGACAAACAGTACCAGTGTGGCATGGGGGGCGACTGGTCCCCCTGCCAAGCCATGCTCTGGGGTGCTGGCTAACAGAGGACTGCTGCTTGTCCTTGACAGGTAGTGGGCTGTTCACTCCAGAAGGACCTGCCGCCTACCATTATGACACTGGAACTGAGGAGGGATGTCTCCTGCTAGCAGAGTTGAGCGCATACCCCTGTCTTTCCCCCACTTACCCTCCTGCCATCAACTGGAGTTTGTATGCCACAAGTATCAAGAAATTTCCAGGAGAAAATGACACTTTTTCGGGATCTGTCCGGCGGGATATATTCACTTTCAGTGAACTCAGGCGCAAAACTGGAAATTACACCGTTTGCCAAGGAGACCTCTGCTGTCATCTGGTCTATCAGATGTCAAACAAGAGGAAAAACGAAGTTTATGTCCTGGGTGCATTTGATGGGCTTCACGGTTCTCTTATAAAATACCATTGGCAGGTAATTGTTTTTTTAGGGGTGAATGTGGCTACCCCAACCACCCCAAACCACTTGTCCGCTACTGCATACTGAGAACTTTTCTTGATATCACATCCAGCTCTTGATTTTGAAAGTTTGGTGGTGTTTTACCTTTCTTTATCCTCCTCCCTGCAGATATGCACACTGCTCAAGTGCAAGAGCACAAACCTGGACACATGTGGGCAGCCAGTGGAGACGGCTCAGACCAAGTTTGAGATGTTCTCCCTCAGCGGCACATTTGGCACCAACTATGTCTTTCCAGAAGTGTTGTACAGTGGGGTGCAGCTGGCCCCTGGGGAGTTTGAGGTAAGGAGGCACCCTGGAGCTGTTTGATGCAAAGTTTTCCAGGCTGTGGTGCTGAAAACTGGCATGTCAGCAAAGTCCCACTCAAGAACCACTTTCGTTGGTTTTGCAAACTGTAACTCAAAAGGACACATTAAAACAGGTGGATTGAATTCTATCCATCATATCAACTTCAATGCTGAGGCTGAGAATCTCTTTAGTGTTTTCTGTAGCAAATACACCTTCCCACTTCAGGTCCCAAATCTGTAAACAACAGCTTTCAAGGAGCTATTTTCTACAGGTTTCTGCTGATGGGGATTTTAGGAGAAAAAGAAATCAAATACTCTTGAGAAGTTGTCCAAATGAGAAAAATTGCTTAGGAGTATCATGTGTAAGAGCAGAGATCCTACTCAGTTAAAAATGTTAAAAACAATTTTTTAGGGCTTTGTAGTGTTTATTTTTTTATTTGAAACTTAGAAGAGGCAATGAAGACAGTGGAAAAGATCTGAAAAGTTTTAGGGGAAACAAGGGTGACTTTTTTACAAGGTAGGGAATTGAAAAGCATTGTTCACCTTGCATACTTTTTTTGAATGGGACTTCTGTAAAAATATACACATCAAAGAATTTATTGGCATGCTATGATCATAGTCTAACATAAAAATTATATGTTGTATTTTTTTAACAAATACGTGCTTATTTTTTGTCACAGAGGCTCTTAAAAAGTTGCCGGTGTTCATAGTCTCTGAACAACAGTGATTTCCAATTGATATGTAAAAAGTAACTAAGAAAAGCTACATATGACCAGTAGCTTGAAATTTTCTACTTCCATCTGAAAATTGTTTAGGGGTCTACAAATAAAAAAATATTTCAAATCTGTCCTAGATATGTATATAGCTTTCATTGCCTTCTATGAGTATAATGAGAACCTAACAAATCAGTTATTCTCACTCTCACCTTCTCTTGAGGTGGAGAAAATGATCTTTTTTTTCCAAAGATAGAGAAATGTTTAAAGACCTCCTGGTCCAAGGAAATGTGGGAAGGCTATAGTGGGAAGGCTATGGCAGAGCCAGATGTAATTCTGGTTTCTTTCATTCTCATGATTGTTTAAAAGTGTTGCATCAAAATATTCAACATCTAAGTTCTATTCTTTCTGTACTATGCAATATTGCTACTCTGTTAATGGACTGTTAGTGTCATTCTTTCTCTTTTTGATTAGGTTCTACGTGACGGACGTTTGAAAAGTAAACATGGCACATCGAAACCGCTCATAACAGCGACACTTTTTGGAAGGCTTTATGAGAAGGACCTGCCACATCCTCTGCGAACCTCCCAATAACATGACTCCTTACACAATCACAAAGACAGGAGGGGAATTTCCTCATGACACATAGCAGCTATCCTGTATGATTCCTGTTCTGCAATCTTGCACTTCTGCTCAGCGGCTGTGGCAGTTTGGTTTATTTAGGAGAAAGGGAAGTGATCACTCCATTGTGTGTAACTTTTTAACAGTGCTTGAGCCAGAGCAATTATTTTTTAGTATAAGTGCTCTGTCACATGAAACTTTTAAGTAGAAATTTCATTTCCTCCAAGGTATCATGTAGATTGCTAGGACAAGAGTAAAAAGAAGACTGTTACCAAAACATATGAAATGTGGTTTGTCATTTTACTGCAGAACAAATTTTCTCCAAAGAAGCTCATGATTTCTGTTACTCCGTGTTCTGTGGCTTCTTAGCATGCAATTTTGGAGGCTCTTTCCAGGAATTATTTCATCCTGGAAATAAAACAGCTGAGCTTGTACTTAGGGGAGGGACTCTACCTCTTGGGAGCGGTCAGTCAAAACAGGCAGGGATTCAAAGTGTTGCTTGCTGGTGCCTGAGTTGTGGGGTAGCACAGACTAGTCTTCCATCAAACAGAAGAGATTTTGGTCAAGTATGGTTATGACTGACCCGTGGCAAACCTAATCCCACATGACTGTTCCGTGTGTAGTGCATATGGGGTCCAGAATTTCAAGACACAGATGGCCATGCTAAGAGTGAGAATTGACCCTGCTCCCAAGCCAGTCTGGTACACTCCAGGAGCCTCTTGTGTTGTCCATAATGGACAACAGTTTGAGAAGGGCAAACAAGATTGACCAGGCTGCTTGTGAAGGTCTGCAGTGTCATCCTGTCTACAGGTTTGCGCTGGGGTCAGCACAGTCAGGCACACACCACGTACAGCATCTCCACAGCAGAGCAGCTGGGAGCTTCTCCCTGGGGGTGCTCCCCTTGGTCATGCTTCCCTGCCTGTCTTCAGTGCTGCTCGCTCAGGCCTCTGTGCTTGAAAAGCTCAAGGAACCTCCCTGAGAAAGGCAAGAGTTATCCTGACTTGTAAGCTCTGGTACTGAAATGCATCCTAAACCAGTTTTTGATGCAAAAACGTAACTCTGTCAGCTACCCCTGCACCCTGCTTTTTTGCTCTCTGCCTCTGGTACCTTTCTGTTCTAGGCTTGGTGATTCCTTGAGACAGCTCAGGCCTTGTCTCCAGCAGGTAGGTCTGAAAGAAAGAAGGAGTCCATCTGGGGGGATCTGCTGCATCCCACAGCCCTCTCACCTCACAGGCACTGCCAGACCTGCCCACTCAGTCATGGAGGTGGAGCCACAGCTCCTCCTACTCATGCCCCTGCTGCTCACCTCCATCTCCCCTGAGGCTGCACTTCTGGCGAAATACGCTGTTATTACCTGGCCTAGAATTGTTCGAGTGGAAAAGAAAACAAAAACCAAAACTGACAAAGGGGAACTGCTACTGGAATAGCACATGAAAGCAATTTGTCTTTTTTTTTTTTCCACAGTCAAAGCAGTTTATTAAAATCTTTTTTCACTGTTTGGCAATCAACAAAAAAAAAGAAGAATCTGAAACCATTTTAGAAATAAATGCCTCATGGAATCATCAGTGACACTTTTGGAACAAATAAACTAAAGTCAACAGTAGGAAAAAGCAGATTTACCAGCTCAACTGGTTACAGCATGGTGTTAAAAACACCAAGGTTATGGGTTCTATCCCTGTATGGGCCATTCACTCAAGAGTTGGACTTGATGATCCTTGTGGGTCCCTTCTAACTCAGAATATTCTGTGATTCTGTGAAATACTTTGCAGGTTGGTAGTACTCTAAATACTAAGTATTTCAGGAACTCTAGACATTAAGTTTATTATTACTAGTTTTATCTTTCTTCTATCATATGCGAACTTCTGAAAGTATCTGTAGCAGTGGAATCAGTGAGAGTTCATTAGTGTTAATGAAACTGGCCCCCTGGGAAGATAACTAAATTTTTAAAGAAATTTCTTTTTTTAATTTAATGGCAAATTTTATGCCATGTTCTGCTCCCTTATCCCTATCTAGACTGTGATAATTGAACATAAAAATCTCTCACATATTACTTGCTGGCATTTCTGAAATTTTGAGTACTTCCCAGGTACCTACTGACTGTTTACATTGTCAGAGCTGGACACAACTAGGATACAATTAATATTGCTAGTTAAATAGCTTATAGGATATCAGAAAAGGGCTCTTGGATTTCATCCGTTGAGGGTGCAGAAGTCCAGGATTCTTTGAAAATTACACTAAAACTGTGAAGAATGGCAGACCTGCAGTTCAATGTGCTGCACAGCTTTCCTCTCCCTGAGAGGGTTCCAAAAGTGACATACAATGGACCTCTGAGGAATTTATTAATCCCTTTCCCATTTCTGATAACAAAGCAAGAATTTAGATGAGCAGAGATTTAAGTTGCATGGACTGTTGCAGCAGCCTCAGAATAGCTCCATCATTTTAATACACAAGAACCACAACCCCTGTTTTTGGGTAAGGATTCCCTGGAGGGATTGCAAAAACCAACCAGACCTTCACCTCAGTGACTACAGAAACAAACTACAGAAACATTCAGGATACAGAAGCAGAGAGGTAATAAATGACACATGCAACAAATCACATTTATCTGGAACAGTTTCTGTTAAATTCACAGAAGGTTAACCAGCTATGTAGTTACTTTCCTACCTGCTAGGTGGGAGTTAGAAAACAGAGAATGTTAGCTCGTCTTTAGTTAAAAAAAAAAAAAAAATCCTGTCCTATGCTTTCCTTATGAGACAGAATTTGAGTTTCTGAAAGAACTGGAATATTTACTGACTCTGGGACAGATGTGCCAGAGGAGGAAAATCAAATTAATTTATAAGTAATTCAGGTAAATAACCCCACCTCAAAAGCTACTACAGATGGTATCTTAATGAACCCCATCCTTTTCTGAGCTGGAAAAGCCTGCTCTTCACACGTCAATATTTCTTCCTTCTACCTTGATGCTGGCCAAAGCAAACAAGACCCACCGGTCCACAGTGTTTCTGATCCCACAGAAAGAAAAACAAATCCGTAATAGATTTTATTGATGCAAGATTTCAGATGAAGGTAGAAAAATACTCCATTAAACCAAATATGATCCAAACCTTGCATCTGACTTAAGTAAAACTGGTAACAATTTTAGAGAAATTTTGACTAAAATCTAATGTGCTTTACTGTACATATTGAATTAAAGTAAGCAGGCCTTGAGGAAAGAACAATCTGGGTGTTTTTAAGAGAGCAGGACTCTTTAGCCATGTCTTTGTACATATATTTAAATCATCATGACCTCAAGCTATCCATTAAGTAATGTGGGACAGTGAGGTACAATCAGAGATTGTGCAAATATTATACCCAGTAATTCAAAACATCTATACCCAGTAATTCAAAACTAGGTGTTAATGAACAACTCATGTTATCATAGGTGAATTACTGGCAGAGTGGGACACTGTTCCCAGGTACACTGAATTAGTGCAGGTATAGAGTGACAAATAGAATGGCAATGACCTGAATTTGAGTTGCAGAATTTCTAATTAACCAACAATCAAATTATAAGCCCACTTCATCCAGACAGATGTATTTACAATGTCACTGTCCACCATCAGGATAGGAAAGCTGAAAAAGAGAAATAACTTGAATAGGCCAATAAAGACAGCAGCAATTATCACAAGGCTTACTGTAGCTAATACAGAAATGCTTCTCAGTGGCTTGTGAAGGACTATGAGACGTCATGGACCCCAACAGAGAAGTAATTCCAGTATGCCTTCTAAAAATGAACCTCTTGACACTGTAGACAAACAACACCTCCTACTGAAGCCACAGATGAGCATGACAGCATTACCAAGTGTTGTCTATCTGTGAATTAGGCACAGACAAAAAGGATCAGTCCTGGTGAAACAGAAACTTTGCATACTGACAACACTATGTTATTTTCTCTTTCAGTCTGGAAAAAAAAAGTAAGAATTAGCAGAAGCACTTGTAGCCACCACTTGTGAAAGTATCAAAATGTTTCTTGTAGCCACTCATTACCATAAAGTTGCAAGTGAAATACTCCATTGTCTGTTCAGATATTCTCATGACAGAAGGGAATTTCTACTAAAAATATGTACAATATAAGAAATGCATTGTAACTACATGATTTTAACTTTGTCTATCTATCATCTTTTGCTACTTCTGATGTTAGAGTTAATTTTTATGAACTCATAGTTTGATAGCTGTGACAGTGTCACCATATAAGAGCAGCAAGGAGTGTATAAAGCAGAGATATATTTTAATGTCACAAATATAGCAAATCTTTAGGAAACACCTTTTCAGAAAAAAAAAAGGGAGAATAATATTTGCATACAGTTGGTTGTCCAGTTTATGTACTGCAAAATGTAATAACATAAAACTAAAATAAATAAAGTAATTTAACCACCTTAGAGATAGTTCTCAGGAGCAAATGATGATTTTTGTAACAGCAATTTTTGAACATTTACTTCTAAATGAGTGTTAGGAACGTGAGACATACTTGAATTTGTCAAATGAAAATGTTAAGGTCTGTGCTTATAGGATGATTATTTTTATACTCTTAATTCACCTTACTGTGTTTTCTAGCCATATGAGACTGCGTTTTGTACACTGAAAAAGGACTATGTAGTTATAGGTTTTGGATTCTCTAAGGAAGATGCGTTGGGGTTTGTTGCAGATAAAACTTTCTTGTCGAATTTATGGATGATTTTGGAAAAATCTAAATTTTATTCTGTAAAATTTATGAAAATCTTAGAGAAAATATAATAATGACAAGCAGTTTCCATTAAATTGAGCAAAGAAAATACATTGAACTCTAGGCCCATGCCATTGCTACATTACAGACTCTTTAGGATTCACTCTCCCATACTTTTAGAGACCTTTCCAAGTTTTCCATACAGCATTTATTCCTGTGCTGATTAAGTGCTGCTAAATAATACCTAAAGCTCTCCCTTTCATTCATTTTGTCTCCACTAAGAGCCAGAAATCTTGACCTAATGGGTCCAATTGAGGTCCAATAAAGTCAAATCAGAGCAGTGAGTTTGCTACAGTACCAGTCTAATCAATGGTGGTATGTCAGTTTGCTTCTACTGATTGTGCATCTACAGACACAGAGATGTTCTGCATTTAACTGTGAATTCAAACAACCATAATCTGTGAATTCAATCAGCCATGTCCCTCATGGAGGTTCTCACACCACTTGAGTGGGTTTGGTTGTAGATGGAAGTCATCAATTCTGACCAGGAGAGTCCAGAGATGGTGACTAGTACAGCTCCCACCTTTGCAAAAGTTGAGTGCACTGACCCTGTAAAATTCCCAGTATCTTAGTTTGTCATCCAGCTGACAAACTGTAGAAAAATTGATCAAAAATATACAAACTCCACTACTTCATTAGTAG